ACTTTTTTGTCACACACAAAATTACATTCTTTTTCATTGCCCAACATAGTACAAGGTAACCGGTAAGAGACATTCTAATGCTCTGTGTCAGAGAAATGACCAGTCAGATACAGGGTACAAGACATTAGGAAAGGGAGAGGTCCTTGAAAGATGGGAGAAGCTAATTTTGGCAGAGGCTTACTACACTGAAGCTCTGTATTTCAATACCTTTGTTCTTCAGGACTTTCCTACTAGAAGTCATAAATCTTTCCATTTTCAATCCAGTCTATTACAGATCTGTATTAATGCAGAAGGACTGACTTGGAAGGAGGATGCTGTTGACAAGCTCAGCGGGATTTATTCTGTTCTTGCTCTCTCAATGCACTGTATCAGTGAGCACCAAAGAGGCAGTGGTCTTGGCTAATGGCCACCTTCTTCCCCAAAGAGGCTATGAGAGACTGGGTAACAGCAATGAAAAAGGTACTCATGAAGAGAGTTGGGTGATTTGGATGCATGCTTTGTTTTACTTTATGGTGTTGCTGTAACATTTTCAGCCAATGTATTTGAAGGTTAGCCCTGCAAAAATCAGTCACAGAATCGTTTGGGTTAGAAGGGACCTTAAAGATCAACTGGTTCCAACCCTCCTGCCATGGGCAGGGACACCTGCCACTAGACCAGGTTGCTCAATGCCCCATCCAACCTGGCACTGAACGCTTTCAGTGATGGGGCAGCCACAGCTTCTCTGAGCAACTTGTTCCAGTGTCTCGCCACCCTCACAGTAAAGAACAACTTCCTTATATCTAATTTAAATCTACTCTCTTTCAGTTTAAAGCCATTCCCTCTTGTCCTATCACTACATGCCCTTGTAAAAAGCCCCTCTCCAGATTTCTTGTAGTCCCCCTGTAGGTACTGGAATGCTGCTCTAAGGTCTCCACAGAGCCTTCTCTTCTCCAGGCAGAACAACTCAGCTCTTTCATCCTGTCTTCACAGGAGAGGTGCTCCAGCACTCTGATTATCTTCATGGCTGTCTCTGGACTTGCTTGAGCGGGTCCACATCCCTCTTGTGTTGGGCGCCCCAGAGCTGAAGGCAGTACTGCAGGTGGGGTCTCATGAGAGCAGAGGGGCAGGATCGCCTCCCTCGACCTGCTGGCCCTGCTCCTTTTGATGCAGCCCAGCATATGGTTGGACTGCAAGTGCACATTGCTGCGTCATGTTGAGCTTGGTTGATGAGAAACATCAAGTCCTTCTCATGAGGTCCTCCTCAGGGCTGCTCTCAGTCCATTCTCTGCCCAGCCTCTAGTTGTGCTTGGGTTTGCCCCAACCTAGGTGCAGGACCTTGCATTTGGCCTGCTTTGCAATATGAATATATCCTGCCCTGAAGTGATAGAATCATAGAATAGTTAGGGTTGGAAAGGACCTTAAAGATCATCTAGTTCCAGCTCCCTTGCCATGAGCAGGGACACCTCGCACTAAACCATGTTGTCCAACCAGGCCTTGAACACTGCCAGGGATGGAGCATTTACCACTTCCCTGGGCAACCCATTCCAGTGCTTCACCACCCTCACTGTAATGAACTTCTTCCTTATATCTAAGCTGAACTTCCCCTGTTTTAGTTTAAACCGATTACCCCTTGTTTTATCACTACAGTCCCTGATGAAGAGTCCCTCTCCAGCATCCTTAATCCCTTGCTCAGCTGCCATCACATTCAAGAAAAATTACCAGGGGTTTTCTGTAAAAAAAAAATGTGGAATTTGAAGACTTACTCTTTGGACAATCATATCTAGAATACATCATACACCTCAGTACCTAAATCCCATTGCTACCTATAATTGAGGCATCCCTCTGCCTATGTAGCTTGCAAGGTCCAGCTTGGTATGTTTTCTAATACATTTACCAAAGTAGATCCCACATAAATTGTATACAAAAAGAGTAGTGGGCTGATTCATTTCACTCCTTTGACTGATGTCACTTGAGGTTTTAAAAAATCTACTTTCCAAGTGAATCCTGTAACAATTAGCCTAAATGATTTTCTCATTATCTGTCTATAGAAGTTGTTCTATTTTGCCTGAATAATATTCACTGAGAAGGGCAAATACAAGAGTCACTGTATGTATCGCTGGTGTGGACATCATTATATAATCACTTAAATAGTAATAATCCTATAAAATCATGGGATCGGGTTTGGAGTCAGGCTGTGTCTACCAGGCACATGTTTTAACAACTGGAGTACAGAGTCATGTACAGAACTCTGCTGTTTCAGGATGTTTTATAATGGCATGCAGATAGTATTGAGATTTAAAGTATTCCATTCATGGCTGTAGATTCTATTAGGCAGTGAAAGGCATAAAAGTAGGGCCTTGGAAACCCTATCTATTCCTGTAAATCTGTCCTGAGTGGTGCAGAAGTACCAATAAATTTCTGAATATCAAATATCAAAGACTATGTTTAACACAATAGTGATTCTATGAAAAATAGTATTTAACAGGTTTAATCCATCTGGACTTCTACAAAGCCTATGATAAAATACTTCATACAATATTAAATCAGAGAAGGTAAGGTTACATTATAATTTCAGTAGAAATTGAAAAAAAAAAAAATGACAATGACTTGATTAGAGAAGTAAACCATAAAGTCAAGAGGAGACTTTGGAAGTATTTGCTCATAGGTAATCTTTTCTGTATTCTTATTAAGTATACTGATGCAAAAATAGGCATATGCTGATAAGACTTAATGATAACATGAAGTAGAGAAATGCCAATACAAAAAATAAGAATATTACACAGAAAAAATATAAAAATAAAACAAAAATCAGCTGTTCTTAAGTAATACCATTTGGATGAAAACTAAAGTACAGAATTCAAGGTTTTACCGCAAGGTGAGGACCTCGCCAGTCACAAAAATCCCAAAAACAAACTGTAGATTAAAGGAAATTAAGCAATACAAATGCAATCCTATAATATATCAACAAAGGTGTTTTTAATAAAACTTGGGAAGAATCAGTGGCACTACATAGGGCCATCTGCAATACTGTGTGCGAATTTTACCCACATTCTAGGAGATTAATTTGCAGGGAAGAGGTGCAGAAAAGCTACCAAGACAATTAAGGAACAGAAGATTTATCTTACACTAAATAATAAAAGAACTTCTTTATGCTATCCCACCAAAACAAAGGCTGAATAAAAATAGAGTTGTCTTCACTAGGGCTTACTACCCAGGAAGAAGCACTATTTAACTAATGAACAATGTGACACGAGAAAGAAAAGGTGGATGGTGTACATTAATAAAATTAGATTGGGAACCAGATTAGTATTTCTAACAGAGTAGTGTCAGTTATTGAAGTCTACAATGCTTTTCAGTTGGAAAAGAAGAAATGCAACAATTCTGTGAAGAAGACTGCATGATACAATTCCCTGCAGGACCAGATAAAATAGTTACTCCTGGTGCCTTTCTCTTTCCAGAGAGTTGTTTGTTGGTTTGGTTTTTTTTTACACTAGCCAAATTGTTGAGTGTACCTTCGATTTGTTGGTCACAAGACCATACAATGAGATTCACTCTTTTCAGACTCTGTTCTTCTGTTCAGGAAAAGAAAAACCATGTGTTCAGTAAAAGGATCAAAGGATCACTGATCTCTCATCAGTGATTTGGGCAGAGAAGAGGGTTTTTTCTGAGATTTTATTTTAAAGTTTTTGTCTTTGGAAATATTTTTCCTTAATTGTTTCTTGGTAAATATTGAAAAAAAAACCCAGTTGCTGTACTTGTCCTGAATTATCCTGGTTTCCCAGAAGAAAAAAAAATCTAAATGCAGCATCTAAATTCCTATTACTCACTGTCAGGACAGAACGTAAGATTTCGTAAGTCTGAAGAACTCTCATTTTACATCCCAGGTGGTCTGTAGAAATTTTTCTCATAGAGATATTAAAATTGTCAAGTTTTTATTAAACATAAATTACAAATATCCCATAGTATAATGATGTAATGACATGCCTTTCAACTCTATGGAGAAGTGAATGATTTCAATTCATAAACATGTTTCTGACAAACAGAACAAACATTGAATAACATCCTTCTCTACAAAAGGAGTTCTCTGTATATGAATTAATGTATACATAAATGTGTATTTAAATAAATTATATTCTGGCTTTTAGAAGTCTCATAGCCAATTGTAAAAAGCAGAGCACTGTGCCTTAGTTTGAGAGATGCTTGATGCTATACTATAGCAAGAAGTTACCTTAGAAGCAAGTTACATTTAAAAAACAAGGTATTACATATTTCAGCCCAACCAAGAGGGTCATCCCAAGCCTTACATGCCATTTTTATTACCCTCTAAGTCTATTGGATAAATAATAAAGTGGAAAAGCTCTTTCACCTGGTATTGGTGTTATCACTGCACAGCACTGTAGTTCTGCTTGTAAATCAGTGGTAAGATTTAGAGTGGAATTTGAGTGACATGAACTGTTCTTAAGAAAATCCTCAGATGTTTATCAGTTTTGTATTAGCAAGAAATATGCTTTACTATCTCACTTTTACCACTGAGAACATGGCATACTTATCGGAATGTAATGCAAAGATACTACATATGGCCAAAGTGTAAATTGGTTAAAGAGAAATTAGATTTATTTGAGGGTAAAGGTAGCTCCTTTAATTAAACACAGTGGTCCAACACATGGCACAGGGAATTGCAAAGTTGGTGACCACTCAAACTAGAAGAACACAAGAAGAAAAGGAATGGTCTGTACATAACTTCTGGCTTTTCAACCATATTGCTGTCATAAATGCAAAATCACACTTATGTTGTATGACATGATTAACAAACCCATTTTAAAATTTCTGAACATTTCCTGCATGTTCTGCTCTGCAATCTTCCCCCTTTAGTTGAGCTGGTGCCCACTAGCTGGGATAAAGTCAGAGTCAGCTTCTGGTTAGAGTGCAGTCATTCCTTCATTCTAAAGGACAGAGTTCATACCTAAAATTCACTATTTGAACAGAAATTTACTTTAATTTTTTTTTTCCCCCCTACTCAGACTATCCAAGGGATTGCTTTGAGATTTTTCAGCATTCCAAAGGAAATGCCAGAGATGGTCTTTACATCATCCAGCCAAAGGAGGACCCAATTGTAGTCTCTTGTAACATGCAAGATGGTGGTTGGACAGTAATCCAGCACATTACAGCCAATAGTACTGTTGACTTTGATAGGACCTGGCAGGATTACAAATATGGATTTGGCTCTGTTCATGACAACCACTGGTTAGGAAATGAATATATGCATCAGTTAACAAGCAGCTCCGTGCGATATATACTTGGAGTGAAACTTGTAAACCTGAACGCTGAAATCAAATGGGGACAGTATGAACCATTCCTTATTGAAGATGAAGAGTCTCAATACCGAATCAGGGTTGGTCTATACCAAGGCAATGCCACTGATGCTCTGAGCCTGGACACAGAAGCTTATCTTCATGACAACCAGAAATTCACCACCAAAGACAGAGACAATGACAATTACTTTCAGAATTGTGCTAAACTGGAACACAATGGCGTTCCTGGGGGAGGCTGGTGGTATGATGCGTGTGCTGGAGCAAATCTAAACCGTAGGAATGTGATATATTGGCAAAAGGACTGCAACAAGCAATGCATGTGCAAGTTTGCATGGATGATGATCAAACCCATTGAGTACAGCCTGCCATATCCAACCAAGTCCTGTCTGTGTCAGAAAGTTGAACTGTAGATAAGCCAACTGTACTTTGAAAGAACCATGGATTCTTTCTCCAGTAACTGAAGTGAACTCACACTGAATGATCACACTAAGTAATCATGATTGAAAATTAATTTGGGCCTTAGCAAGGGCTTTATGACAGCATATTGTCCAGGACTAGACCAGGACATACACATCATCCAACCACACAAGTGAGAAGTCAGTCAGAAACTGAGGCCTCTACTAGAAGATTTAAATATTTAATTTTTTAGTATTTTAGCCATAAGAAGAGTCGGGTATGAAATCTGAGATTTGATGTCTTGTACGAGATATACATGAATATACATGCATTTCAGAAGTTTTGCTCCAGTATGAATGTTGATCTCTTATAATTGCACATCTTCACATACCATGCAGGAAGGAAATTTCCAGTGAAGTACCTACATTTACAAAACACATATTGGAGAGTATTTTGTACCATAGGGCAGCATCAGCCCTTTCTTTTTTATCTTTAGTGAAAGATATTTTCATATGTAAAATTGGAATTAGCCTCATCTCCTGTGGCTTCTTTTCCCCTTCATTGACTCCCTTTTTTATCTCAACTTTTTAATTATACCATACACAGTGAAGTATTCAGCATAGGCTTTGCTTTTCTTCGTTCTTTTTAGAGGACCCAGAGCTAATGGAATCATCAGCTTTTCCATTTAAAGCTGCTAATCCAAACCTTTACAATTCCTCTGAATTTTTCTTCAAGAAACTCAGTGAACACATTTTTTAAATGATCAAATTGATCTTGCAATTGTTTACTTTGTGCCCCTTTTTTTTTTTTCTGGATATTGCTGCACTTTATTTACCATGTTGTGACTGTTGCTTCTTCCTGTCCATGATGTGCTTCAGCTTTCTCTTTTTTTAGTATAACTGTGACAAAATAACGTGAGAAACTAAAAGTGTTGCCTTTATTTCATATTTGCTAGCTTCAATGTGTTTGGCACTCAACCTTGAGTGTTAATTTAAACTCAAGGTTTGTTTCAACAGAACCTTATTTCTGATTATAAAATAAAGAATCTTTAAATTTCATGGTAAATTCACCTTTTTTAAAATAATAAATAAAAGGATTTAAGTCTTGATAATCCTGAAAACCTTGTTTTCTTTTACAGCTGGAAAAGCTGAATAACAACTGAAGTTTTCATTGTTGCATTATATAAAAAGTCAGGATAATACTTAGAATATCTTTCATGTTTTCTTAGATACTTAATTACACAAAGCTGACCTACAGATACTGGCAGACTCCTGCTTTTTAATTTAAAACTGAAATCTTATATAATTTCCATGAAAATTACTTTGCAGAAAAAAGTTGTAATTTGTTTTGAGAAGTCCAAGACTACCAGAATTACTTACAAAAGAAATTAATTAGAAAGTGGAAAATCCAAGAAAGGAATTTTTATTTTTTACAATGCACTGCAACGTTTTCAGAAACAGCTACAGATCTGCTATGTGGGTGAGGCCAGTATAGCATAAATTTTTATTTTGCAGCATCTGATTTCTCCTCCCCTAAAATTGTGTTCAAAGATGAAAGTGTGATATGGGAAGGGATAGAGAGTGGCTGAATTGAGTTTATGTCATTGAGTCAATTTAATGTGAGTTCTGCTGTAACTCTGTCAGGTTGCCTCCAAAGTTGTGACGATACAAGAAAATCACCCAAGTGCTGCCAGTCTCCCATAGCTTTTATTTTGGCCATATAGCCAGATTCTTACACACTTTTAAAAATATGTTTTGAATAACCTTGACATGGAAGCACAAAACTGGAAGCCAGATAGCATATGACTGTTAGTGGTTTCAGAAGGGGATGGTGTTGCAATTGTTTTTTCCATTTTGGTAAACATATTTCTTAAAGTTTACTAGGCACAGCTGGGCTATGTATCAGATCAGGAACTTCAGTTTTAACTAGTCTTAGTAAAACTGCTGCCTTTTACTCAATACTTAGACCGTTAGCTGCTAAATGCCATTGGTGTCCTCATGTATCTGCTGACAACAAGCCAGTCTTCCTCAAACTGGACATTTAAACTCCTTCAAAAGTTTTCTTCTCAGCAAGTACTTCTCCAGACCCTGCTCAGTAATGGCTCCTGTTTCAGTAGGCTTTACTGAATTCCTGGATTACAATGTTCAGGTCACCTATCAAATATGACAAGGAGGCAATGTTACAGATTTCTGAAAAAAGCCCTTTGTGGGAGATCAAACAATCGGAAAAATCAAATTAGAGATGGGGACTTTTCATGACAGTCAGCTCTAAGACTGGAACAATATCTAAAGGGTGATAAGGAAGTGCAATTAAGGATTTTGCCTTGAAGTGTATCACTCTTTCTGGATCTGGACTCTTCAAGCCCATATATGCCAGTACAGGTCCCATTATTGGTACAATAGAGTTGAGGAACAAAAATCCACATATAAAAATAACTTTCAACAGTTAATAGCAGTTACTAATTAACATGCAAAGTTGAGTAGGATAAGCATAATTCGCAATTTAATTATATAATTAATAGCAAAATACACTTTATCATATTTTACAGGTTCTTACAGTATTTTCTCTATAACTCTTTTGATTTCATCCTTCCTCAGTTCAACAGGATTTTTTCTGTAACGGAAACTTGTGCATTTATATTTTATCTTGACTTTCTGTCCTTTGCAAAACTCTTCATTTTGTGCTAACAAGTCACAGAAGGCGCAAAACTGTAACTAGGTGTCTATACCCATTTAAAAGTTCTGGGAACTCTTCCAAGTATTTATCTACAAACATAAATTGTATTTACAGAGAATGAATGTTACTTGATAATTTATGGAGATCTGGAATACATACAGTGTATAAAAAGGGAGACACAAAAATGATACCCCAGTTTGTGAGAAAATTCAATATTCAAGAATATTAAAGGTGCTGTGTCTCTGAAAAGCTTAGTTAGGGATGTATATTTATGCATCTGTATTGACAATAAATACATACATACATATATGTGTGTATGTAATTATGTATAAATAAAATGTACTTTTTAGAAAGAAAGTTCTTTTCACCAGTCCCTGACTATGACCATAATCAGTTATAGGATCAGTATAAGGTTCATTCAAAGGACAGAAATACAGATAACAAGATTGTTCTACACTGTAAAAGTCCACAACACTTTTTAAAGGTACAAAATATAATTTGAAAACAAAATATAATTAAGTACTGATGAGGATCACGTTTTTCTTTTTGTGGTTTTGAGGTTTTTTGAGAATAAACATCCTAAATAACAATAAAGCAACACACACCTCTTTATACAATTCCAGGTATTTACAATGTACCCATGTTTGGCCGTGTAACGTCTCACATAGTGAAGCGCTAGCAGCATAGTTTGAGCACATATTTCACAACTACATTGAATCAACTTTGTTGCATCCATCACTGTGTATTCTAATACATTTACTGATCACAGAGTCCATAAACATTTACAGAACACTGTTGTTCAACAGAAGCCAAAGCCAACAAAAAGTATCCCATTATAATTTCAGTAGAAGCCAATGCCTTACTTCAGCAACAACACTGTAGCTAGCAGGAACTGTTACTACCTCATAAATTTTGTCTTTAACTACAGCTTGTGCCACACAGGGACACATTCATTTGCTAGAAATCAAACGCAGTTTACTGAATGTCTGATCCAGTGTAATATAAAATAAACCCACTATAATAACCAACTTGTACATAGTTACTGTACACAGGAAAAGCTCTGGATAGGGACAGTGGAAAGTTGATGAAGGGGTCTTTATATAAAGACCCTTACTTCCCTTTAATAAGCAATCATATGCTAATGCACAAAAAATAATAGGCACAGTATGGTCTGTTACAAAATCAATCATCTGAATTTAGAGAACATATTTTTACATTACTACACTGCTAATCTTTCACTGACACAATTTTCCCCTCTGGAGATTGGGGATATAAAATATTAATTAATTGCACTGTGGTTGTTGACATGGAAGAATTATTTATCTGTACAGCAACATTTTGATGGTAAGATAATTTAATAAATTAATATGAACAATTTCACAGAAAGCAATGGTACATCCAGGATGACTAATACAATCCATGAAATGTGCAACTGGGTCATGTCACCACTGCAAAGTCCCACTAAAGCGTATATTAGATATAATATGAAGACTGGCCCAAACTAATATTCCAGAGCTTCTCACTCAGAATTTTGATAGAAAGGCTAGAACTGAATCTGAACTTCATAAACATTTGTTTACTTTAGGACTTTATGACTCCTGTCACCACTAAGTGTGTTTTCTCGTGGCCTTTTCTAAGGCTTCATGTTTGTTCGCACTGCAAGGAGCCAGGTCACCAGCTCTGCACCAATGGCTGCAGGACTCCTGACAATCTAACACAGACATCAGACAGGCACCTGGTGTTCAACCCTGCCACAGAACGGTCCTCACCACACACCCAAAGTCCCAGCAAACCTCAGCTAGTGGCCAGAGTCTCAGCTCATTGTATCTAGGCCAGTACAGCCCAATCCCAGAAGCCACAGCCAGCAGAAGGGCTGACTCCAGCCCCCAGTACAGCAGCAGATATGGTTCTATTGGACCAAAAGATAGCTACTGAAGATAACTTCTTTTTCCAAACACCTGACATTGACTAATATTTGTAAAGCTACTTAAAGATATAAAGTGCTATGAAGGTGCAAAATCTTCTTAACAGTTTTATAAAATATTAAGAAATAACTAAAAAAACCATTTTTTTCTTTCAGAGATGCCACTTCTGTCACTGTTTATAGTAGTTTTATAACATATACTTAAATGCACAGGGCATCAATATGTATTTTTTCCTCTTCTTGCATCATTCCATCAGTAATGGAATATTGGAGCAAGAAGTGCAACAAAGAAGACTGCAAAAGAAGACGTTCCTTGTGTTGTAAAACAGATAGACTACATCCATTATGCTTTACAGTCAGTTCTGATTTGAATTGCCACTATCACATCAAAATTTTAAAATTTCCTTCAGAGTCATTGGGAAATGGAGAAACTTGGAGGTATCTGCTAACCATCACCATTTTCTTACAGCTGACAGTGACTTGCATAATGGAACTGAAACTGGAACTGGCTTCTTCATATACAAAATATATCATCTATTCCCTCCACTAGGAGCCCTTCCTATGTCTCCACAAAAGTTATCCTTGAAGTGGAAATTTTCTCAGTATTACATTCTCCTACAAATGTGTGTTCATTTGGAGTTCATTTGGATTAATTTTATGAATCTCCCTAACCATTTAGTATTGAGGATGACAGCATTTTCCTCTTTAAATAGTCCTTGTTTCATTCCAACAGCAGGTGGAAAAGTCTCAAAAACAGCAGTACAAGCTCCATTGCTTGGTGACTTGGAACACTGAAAGCTAGGCAGACAATACACTAGAAAGGAACTGTAGGAATAAACAGTTCTGCCCCACAGGGAGATAGACTGGATGACCATCCCACTTGAATTTCTAGTATTTTATTATTTATTCTATATATTCTCAGATTGAAAGAAACTGAAAGAAAGAAGACCCCAAGCATAATAACTTTAATGCAAATCTACTGCATAATCAAAAACACCCTGTGTTGCTCACAGCAGCCACTGACTTCTTTATCCCAAGCACACTACTTTCATGCACAATTTTATTTTTCAGTAGATTTTTTTTTAACCCTTAGGCATATGAAGCAACAACTTTGAAAAGACAGAATTATACCCAGTTTACTAGCTTACATCAATATCTATTTCCCCCCTCATCCCTTATATATAAGTAAGTTACGGCAGTCTGGTATTGCCTTGCCAGTATAGTTTCTCTTCCACTTTTTTCTTTTTCCACTGGCAGAATAGCAGCATCTTAAAAGTTTTCCTGAAAGTTTTGTTACAGAGGGCGTAACACATGGGATTAACAGTGCTGTTCACATAGCACAGCCAATATCCAAGGTGCCACAGTGTCAGGGGAATGCAGTCAGAACAGAATGTGGAAATCAAAACCATGATATTGTAGGGAGTCCACGTGATAATAAAAGCCAAAAGTATGGCACTTAAAGTCTGTGCTGCTTTGCGTTCCTTTATAAGAACCATCCGTTTCCTTTTGGTGATTTGGTTATTTATATTTGGATCCATGCTCTTGATGGAAGGCTCCTTAGAGAGAGCAGCAGGACAGGGAGTTATTTTTACTTTACGGCAACCATTGTTGGCCTCCTGGGTGCCATCAGCCTTAACCACCAACCGGAATTTATAGGCCACACATTTTTTACTTTTTTGTACATGGCCTTTGGCAGGTGACAAAAAGTATTTCTGGTTCTCAAAATCATTTTCTTCAGGTTGGTGTTTGACAACATCCATACTCTCATTAAACTCTTCTGCCTTACCTTTAGATGGACTTCTGTAAGTTACTTGGAAAACTGAATCCGTGGCAAGTTTATCCTCCTCTTCTGAAGATGCATAGCTGCTGCAGGTGGTTAACTGATCAGCCTTAGCCCAGTCGATGCAAGTACTTGCTGCCTGAGAAGCTTTCACCGTAGCTGATGTACTTCGACTAGACGAAGACCAGGAAGCCTGACACCTCTCTCTTTTGGCTAAGTTTTGTTGCTTGCAACTGAAGCAAGACTTCAGGAATGCTTTCTGAGGCTTTATCATCTCAAACTCTGCCACAGACTCAGAACCCTGCAGTTCAGCAAGGTCCTTGGTACGTTTCTCTGTCTCTTTATAGATGCGGCAATACAAAATGGTCATCACGGACACTGGAATGTAAAAAGCAGCAATTGCAGTACCAAAGGTGATAATGGGCTCATATAAAAACTGTATTTGGCACTCTTCAGGTGGTACTGTTCGTTCACCCACAAAATACTGCCAGCACAAGATCACGGGTGCCCACAGCACAAAGGAAATTAGCCAAGCCAGACCAATCATGATGCCAGCTCTTTTAGGTGTGCGTTTGGCCCTGTAAGTTAAAGGCCTTGTGATGGAAAAATATCTGTCAAAACTGATGACGAGGAGGTTCATTACTGAGGCATTGCTAGCTACATAGTCCAGTGCTAGCCACAGGTCACAGGCAAGGCTTCCAAGAGACCAATGGCCTATGAGTATATAGGACGTATAAAGGTTCATAGAAAATATTCCAATGATGAGATCTGCACAGGCAAGGCTGAGCAAGTAATAATTGTTGACAGTTTTGAGCTGACTGTTAACCTTGAATGATATCATCACAAGAATATTTCCCACTATGGTTATTAAGCTTACAATTGCAGTTACAGTGGCAATAGTAATGACTTCCCAGAGGCTATGCCCTTCTAACTGCTTATGGTTGATGGATGAACTGTTTACAACAGTGGAATTGCTGAATAAATTTACTTCCATTCTTGTTCTTGGTATATTGTCATCAGGATCCTAGCAGTGCTGCATATTGTTTACTGTATGCAAAAATAGTCTTTTGGAGACAGCTGTAAACACCAAAGATAAAAACAAAAAAAGAAAAGAGCTCATTAAATAGCACAGATTTCTGTTAGAATTACCATAAAACACTTGTAAAATAATCTTTCAAATTATTTGTGCTCTCTTTTTGCATTCTGATTATTGTTTCTACTGTTATGAATGTAATTAAACACACAAATACATATTCTTGGACAATGTCACCTTAAGACATTTCTAAATGCAATCAAAACGACTATTGTTTCTTAAGACAGTCAATCACGCCTGCTCTTGTATTTTGAATACTTCAGGAGACATTCTACATACTTGTAAAGACAGACATTTGATGTTTTGCAGTGCAGTAAGACAGTGAATCCCTGTATTGTTTCCAACAGTGCTATGCAGAAGACATGTTAAAATTTTAAAAATTATCTTTGGAAAATTTGGAGAGGTCAGCAACAACAGAAAGAGACTAAGAGGAAACTGAGGATGCATGGGGAATTAGGAACCGTGCTTGCATAGTGGCAGCCGGAAACAAATAGGTGTTAGAAATGCTTAGGGAAATTGAGGAGGAATCTTTGAGTTAAGGAAGGAAGCACGGTGAAGATGTTTTTGGAAAAATAGGTCAGGAAAGACTTTTCTTCACTAAGAGATCTCAGGGCAGATGACACTGATTGGGCCAGGTGTGGAAGTGCAGTTTGGGTAGTGAGGGTAACTGAACGGCAGGGTTGACCGAAAGGAGTGAACTGAAGTGGAAGCCACAATGGATGACCACAATGACAAGCAACACAACAAAAACAATTCAATACTTGTATAAGCAGCAAAAGGTGGAAATGGCACCACTGTCATCCTATTTATGCACACATGCCTCTGATGTCCATCCCTTCCTACATTCTTCATTGCTGTTTTCTTATCCCTTCCTAACATCAGAATTTAGGGGGAAAGACTGCTGAAGCTACCCCATGTGGACTGCAGACTTCAGAGCAATAGGATAAGCAGAAACTGGTGTTGTCCTGACACAATTGTTCTTGGTTTGAACTGACATGGGCAGGAGAAACACTGGTATTATAGTATAGAAACTATAATTAAATTCTAAATAGAAAGCACTCTTATTATCATCATGCAAAGCCTTCCCTCCCTAATGGGCTGTTTTACTCTGATGCCTATAAAAACAGACAGTAGTTAAGCTGCTAGTGTGCAAAGATCTCTTCTTGGCATGTTGACCATTCTCGTCATCTCTTCATATTCTATCATCTTTTGTCTCATAGGTCTGTGTTAACACTTTGCAGTGTTACCTTTTGTACTCTATGTATCACTCAGGGCAATAGTGCCTGTAAATGTGACTTCTGTGTGCTATGATAACATAATTTATGTTAATTATCGATCACAAGAGATGATAATAATAGAGAGATCAAAATTAAATTACAAAATCAAAACGCACATGTACAGTATGATGACTTTGCTGTCTCTCATCATTATCAATGCATGAACTTCACACTCGTGAGTTGTAATGATAATTGCTATTTGTTGCTAAATATTAGTGATTTTTTTTCAGTCTAGCTGTAAGTATTAATTACAGTGAGTTGTTAAGTTTGTACTTATAGTCATCTTACAGTTATCTGCAGGCAGATTGTTCGTGTCACAGATTAACTGCACCACAGATGCAGGCGCAGCTTGGGTTTGCCAGGTTTTATTAGCTCTAGCTCAGCATTGGGTCTGCCAGACCTGTGCCGGCTGCACACAGAGTCATTTAGATGTCTTTGCAACGTGCTTGCCAGTGCTGCTCCCTGTTCATTTATTTGCTTGTGTTGCATTGGTGTCATGCTAAGCTAATGCATTGATTTTCTCCATGGTATGCCCCAGAACTAAGCAGCCCTTACCACAGGTAGTAGTGCACAGACACAACGGCCTATGATTTCACAGTCTGGGAGTTCTGGTCACATTTTCCTGTAAGGACTACTGGGTTTAAAAACCCTACAAAACCAGACTGATGGTTTAATGTGTGTTGTCAAATGGCACCCTGCATCCTCAAAAGTGATCACTGAACTTTCCTGAGGGCAGCACGTGTGCCTGACTAGTTCAAGCAGAGCAGGATAAACTGCTCTGTGGCACAAAGGTGTTCCCGTGTCCCGTGCTGTCTTCAGAGCAAGATGATCCTCAGTAGGCAGCAGAGGACACATACTTCATGTAGCGCAGGCTTGTGTGGGACACCCTGTCAGCTGGGACTCGGTCACTGTCTCCCTCGTTTGCTACGCACAGCGAACTTTAGGCCCTGCGCTTGGGCCACAACAACCCCGCGCAATGCTACAGGCCTGGGGACGAGTGGCTGGAAAGCGGCTCAGCGGAAAAGGCCCTGAGGGTACTGACTGATGGCTGAACATGAGCCGGCTTGTGCCCAGGTGGCCAAGAAGGCCAAGAGCATCCTGAAATGTGTTCTCCAGCAGGGCCAGGGCAGTGATCATCCCCTGTACTGGGCACTGCTGAGGCTGCACGTCTGATACTGTGTTCGGTTCTGGGCCCCTCACTGCAAGAGAGACATTGAGGTGCTGGAGCGGGTCCAGAGAAGGGCAATGAAGCTGCAGAAGGGCCTGGAGAACAAGTCTTATGAGGAA